TATAGGCTGAGCCACTGAGCCCGGCCAATAAATTCATTCTTATTAAAATGGATTCCTTAAGCAACAGACCAAAAATAAGAAAAAGGATATTAGTGAACTATAATATGAGATTAATTATTCAGAATAAAAGCACATAAACAAATAGTATAAACTAATATCTGGAATCACTTCAGTGAAACTTCAGAACACTCAAGAGAGACTTAACACTGTAAAAGCCATCAGAGAAGGGGAAAAGCTAGACTAATTACAAAGGTATAAAGCTAAAAGTGAGAAGGCAATGGAGTATCTTCAAAGTATTTCAGTTTTGATGCTATGGAGATAAATTATCACTGCAGAGCATGCATATTAAATTAAATAAAGTATTTTAGACAAAGAATGAGTGAATTTATCACTCAGATCATTCTTGAAAAAAATCAAAAGTACTGTAAAACTGATAGCAATTTTTTTAAAGCAATAGTGACTGTATAAACTGGTAAAAATGTAGATAAACATGCAATTTACTATGAGCAATCACAACAGTAATAAATTACTTAGTAGGTTAAAAGCAGTACATTAAATTGTTGGAAAATATTACACAAAAGAGATGGGAGGTGATCCAAGTGACAGCGTTCTGTTTTTGTTTGTTCTGTCAGAGATAAGAGATCCTCATCAATTAAAACATGTTGAATAAGCTAAGGATAACTACTAAAAGAAGAGAGTGTCTGCTATACATACTAGTAAGGAAAAAAGGAACAGAGAAAACCCAGTCACTTCAACAGACAGAAAAGAGAGAGAAAGAGAAAGTGAGGAAGGGAGGGAAAGGAGGAAGAAGGGGGAGAGAGAGAAGAAGGAGGAGGAGGAGGAGGAGGCGGAGGAGGAGGAGAAAAGAAGAAGGGGGGAGGGAGGGAAGGGGAGAGAGAGCGAAGGAGGGAAGGACAGAGAGAAAGAGAGGAAAAGGAAGGAAGGACGGGGCAAAGAAAAAACCCTGTAGAATAGAAAGCACATAAAATGATGGTAGAAATAATCTAAATGTATGGGTTAGAACAATAGATTTTTAAAAGATTAAATCTAGCAGATAATAGACATAAAAATTTCAAATCTAGCTATTCTATTTATAAATGAAATCCAAGCACAAAATGACAAAAAAAGGGGGTTGGAAATAGAAAGAAGGGGGAAAATATGGCTGGAAATAATATGAAATAAAGCTCATGTACCGTTTTAAGCAAACCAAATAGACGTTAGTGCATAAAGCACTTTCATGTATAAGGAGCGCTACTACATGACGATAAAGGGAATCATTTATTAGGCAGCCATACTAGTCCAGAATAGGAATGCCCATAGTAATATAACTTCAAATTATAGAAAGCAAAGTGAATTAAAAAGTTGAAAAATTCATAAACCCAATGAGTGATTGACATCTGAAATAGGTCAAAAAAGGATGGTTTAAAACACAATTAACAAACTTGGTCCAATGGATACATATTGTTCCCTATACCCAGTTATTAGAGAATGCAACTTGCTTTCGAAAGCACATAGACAAGTACCAGAATGTAAAGCAAGTTCCTACATATAGTAAGAAAAATGTGTTATATGAACCAGAAGGCCATTTAATTAGACACCAATAACAAAAAAGATAGGCTCAAAACCCATATATTAAGACATTTTAAAATATACTTTTAAGTACTTATAGATTAAAAAATAGCAAAAATTAGAGAATTGCTAGAGACAAATGACAATAAAAGCCCTACGGATTAAATTTATAGAGAGACACAGGAATACAGAGAGAAATGTATACATATACATATATTTATATCTAGATGTAGATATGAAAGGAAACTAACAAGTTAACCTTCAAACACAAAACGTTAGAAGAGGAAAAACAAAGTAAATCCCCAAAACAGAAGAAAGACAAAACAAACATATCTCTGGCAGTATAGAGAGGAAGAGAAGGAGGGAAGCAGGAAGACAGAGGGAAAGAATCAATACAAAGTTCTAAAAGGGCCAAAATAATAAATTTAGCAGCATTTTTAATCAAAAGAAAACACTATTAACAAATGCATGCAATGAACTAGAAAAGTAAGATTAATTAGGTAATTAAAAATATATATAATCACCAAAATTCTTTTAAAAAGAAATAGAAAATCCAGAGCTATCTAACCACGAAATAGACTAATTAAGTAGTTTTCAATTTATACACACACAGACACACACACACAAATCCCTTCTGTCACTGGTAGTTTTATGGGTTTTACAAATCTACCAGAAAGAGACACTGCATTCCATCTTACATGAAATGTTACAGACATTAGAGAAAGCAGGAAACTCTTCAGGTAATTTGGTGACAGTAAAATGACCTTAATAGCAAAACCAAGTGACAGAACAAGAAAGAAAAAGTATAGTCACTCTCCTCTTTGAGCACAGATACAAAAGTTCACAGTGCTCTAAGAGCAAATTGAATTTTGCAATAGGTTTAATATGTTTTTATTTTTTGTAATCATGATAATGAAGATCCACTGTGGAAAAGCAAGTATGTTTTCACATTAGACACTATGTCTATTATTAAAGATAGTGATACTTATTGCAAATATATATTTCATGATTTAAAAATCTTTTAATGATATCAGTGTAATTCAACATATTGACAAATTAAAGGACATTGCTTTTGTAATAAAGTTTTTTTATTTTTGAGTCAGGGTTTCATTTTGTCGTCCAGGCTGGAGTGCAGAGGCACAATCATAGCTCACCACATCCTTGACCTCCTGGGCTCTGGTGATCCTTCCACCTCAGCCTCCCAAGTAACTGGGACTACAGGCATATACCAACACATCAGGATTTTTTTGTAACTTTTTAATAGAGATGAGGTCTTGCTCTGTTGCCCAGGCTAGTCTCAAACACCTGATCTCGAGAGATCATCTTACCTCAGCATCCCAAAGTGCTGGGATTTTGGTGTGAGCCACTGTATCTAGCCTAGAATATTTTTTTAGTGAAATTCAACATCCAGTCAGGTTTCAAAAAATAACAACAGCAACAAAACTCTTGTATATGTTTTCTTTAACCTAATAAATGGTTAACTACCAAAAACCTATAGTTATTCAGAAATGAATAATAATGATGGTTGTACAATATTGTAAATGCACTTAATGCTCCTGAACTATACGTTTTAAAATAGTGAATTTTATATTCTTTATATTTTATTACAAAAACTATAACCCTTTAGCAAACATCATACTTAACATGTAATTATTAAAAGCACTTCCTTTAAATCAGGAATAAGACATAGTTGACTAATCTCATTGCTTCTGTTTAAAAATGTATTAGAAGTCTAGAGCAATAAAACACAAAACAATAATTAACCATGGAGATTAGAAAGGAAACTTTTCACAAATGATATTACTGTCTATGCAAAAAGTCCAAGAGCATCCATACTCACACAATTAAATCTCAAAGAACATTCAGCAATGTGTTTTATATAATATTCAATATACAGAAATCAGTGATGTTCTTATATATAAGTAATTACAACTTATAAAAGTAGTTTTAAATATATACTGTTTATGATAGAAGAAAAACTATAGGCCTCTGGATATAAATATAATATAAAGTTATAAAACTATGTTAAAGGCATAGAAAAAGACATGTAAATAAAAAGATACACTTGGTTTATGAATGGTAATGTATAATATTATAAAAGATAGCAATTATCTTCAAATTAATCTGTAACTTACAACAATTTTAATCAAAGCCATATCAGAATTCATAAAAATTAACAATCTGATTCCAAGACTAATGTGAAAGAGTAAAGAACCAAGAATAACATGACAACATAGGATATGAATAAGGAAAGTGTGCTTGTTCTTCTAAATATCAAGTGATATTTTAAAACTATAATAAATAAAAGAGATATGGCATTAACATAGGTAGTAACAAACCATAACATCGGAAAGAGATCTGCATGTGAAAGAGAACTCAGTCCATTAGATAGGTGTCATAATGAACTGTTGGGAAAATAAAAGACTATTCAATAAAAAGTATGAGCTAACAGGCCAATTACATGGAGGAGGATAAAATTAGAACCACTTCATGCCACACACAAAAAATTCCAGAGAGGTTAAAGTTCTAAATGTAAAGATAACACATTGAAGTATTTAGAATAAAAATATAAGAGAATATTATCATAATTTTTAGGGCAGAGAAGAATTTCTTAAACAAGACACAAAATGCACACATCATTAAAGAAAAGAATAATAAAGTAGACTGTGTTAAAATAAAAACAAAAAACTTCTATGCATTGTGTGTCTGTAATCTTAGCTACTCGGGAGGCTGAGGTGGGAAGATCACTTGAGTCCAGGTGTTAGACCAGCCTAGGCAACACAAGAACCTGTCACTGAAAACGAAATAAAAAAGACCTCTATAAAGAGGCAGACTGTGGAATAGGAAGACATATACAATGCATGTGATTGTAAAGAAATAGTATCCAAAACAGAAAGAACACCCAAATCAATAAGAACAGAGACAACCATACAATCAAGAACTACCCAATTGGAATAAAGAGGTCAGAAACCCTAAATGACCAATAATACCATTAAAAGAGGCTCAACCTCATTCGTAATCTGGGAAAAGCATATAAACCAATAAGAAACGATTTCCAATACAACAGATTTGAGTGAATCCCAAAGGCCTGTGCTAAAGACACCTAAGGACATTCCTTGAACAGAGAACTCTAATTGCCAACTGTCAGTCAGGAAAGCACCAATCAGGAGTTTCTCCAAACATCAACAAACTGGACTAAAAATCTCCTATATTCCAGGATGCATTTTCATGCACTCTGAATGCATCTCAACTTCCCAAAGATCTCATAAAACCAAGTGATGTTTCTTTCAAGCTGATAGCAATACTTCCTTACACCAGAGGGCAGCCATGTTTTCTATCTTTCCGCATCATTGTGTGCACACCAGTGGCACTCACCCCTCTGGGAAAGTGCTATACTGAGCAGAAAGGTGTGGGGGTTGGGGAAGGGTGGCTTACTTGGAGCAGTCTTCACAAGCAATGTTCCCTGTGGTCTCCTTGATGGTGCGCTCAGAGACAAATGCTGGATATTCAGTATCACAAGGCTCCAGGGTCTGTTTCAATTTCTGGGCTGTAGGGATAGGAAAAAAAAAAAAGATAAAGAATGCAAGGCACAGGCTCAATATTATGACTGGCAGCCCACGGCAATTCAGTATGCAGTTCCCCTTCTGCTGCTTTGTGATTTTTCTAGGCACAGCATAATGCATTATTTTCTAATTAGTCAAGTGATTTCATCTGCCGAGCAACCCTATAAGCTATAATTCTTCAAGCAGTTGTGTTGGCTTGACCAGCTATCATTTATACATCACAAGAATCCTACTTTCTGGGACTACATCAGTCACCGGGTCTCTGACCTCAGACTTAAACTTAGCAACAACACATATGTGTATCTGAATAAATGTATAAAATATAAGTTATACCATATTATTTAGGGTGAGACAAAGGTCATGATGCAATTGCAAGGTTTTATTATAGAAAGAAAATTGAAATATGAAATAGTAAAATACGTCATGTCTTTGAAGCACAGCCATGAACCAAATCCTACTATTATGAAGTTCTTTGTCCGATAATATACTATGTCAGTTTTAAAGCACCAAATAACTCTGGTATGCGAATGAGCATGTAGTAGGCTCTCGGAAAAGGTTTGGTGGCTGATTAAGTTATTTAAACAAGTTACGTCCAGTGGGCAAGATCCAATACCTCTCTAAGTCTCAATTTCCTTATCTGTAAAGTGAGGATAAAAGGTTATACCAGAGGCTGATGTGAGAAGTAAACAACACATGTTGAGTACTTAGTACAGTACTTGCAACATAATGAATGCTAAGTAAATGTCAGATAATTATAGTAATAATAGTAATAGTAACAATAACCACAACAAAAGCATTCTAATGAAACCATTACGACATTAAAATGATGACAATGTTTGGATACTATAGCGTAGTGGTTAAGGGCGATGGCTCTTAAGTAAGAGAAGTTTGAAGTATGAATTCCTGCTCTATTGCTTCTAGTTAATCCTCAGTATTCTCATCTGGAAAATGGGGATGCTAGTGGTACAGGTTCTCTGCACAGGAAGTCTATTCATTAACATTTCCCCAAACAGAATGCATTATGCTCACAGGTTTCCAATACCCAAACTTTGTACCAAGTTTGTGGCTGTTGTTTATATCGAATAATATACATTCTTTACATTTACAATTCCAAAACACTGTAGGGTTTTAACAAGATGATATATGGACAAACTCTCATGTTACATTCCAAATACAACTGATTGGATGTCAGAACCCTGGGTAGGCGTCTCTCTCTAGACTATCCATCTGGGATGCTGCTGGCACTGAGTGAGGCCGTAACGTAACTGCATGCCAAACAACCGTTTAGTCACAACCAAACAACTGTAGGGGAATCAGGAAACCATTCTAAGCATTTATATTCTAACATGATTCTTATATAGGATTTTCACTGAGCTTTAGTATATTTTGAGAAAATTGGTTGGGGGTTGTTTTTCTACTTAAAACAAAAGGAAGTAGACTCTGCATCAGCTTTTTAAGTCAGAACATATGATTTGTAGAAACTGGCCGCTGACTAAGGGGAGATACCTGTAGTAACCCCACAGGATTGTCCTGAGGAATAAATAAAGCATGCACAGCTCTTAGCAGAGAAATCTCACACACATTCACCTATGTGTGCACGGGGACGTGTGCATGCACACATACACACACACACACACACACACACACACACACAGCCTTCCTGAAATGCCAGTCATTAGTGAGTGTTCCCATCTTCTTGCCAGAAGCTGGCTATTGTGCAGTAGCACAATTCTAGGGGGTGGATTCTGCTACTGCTTTGAGACAGCAAGTGAGTTTCTAACCTTTCTATACCCTAATGTCCTCATCTGTGAAATGGAAATAATTGTACCAAGCTCATGTGGTTGCTTGGGAATCAGATGAATTACATAAAAAGCAGCTGACACATTGTGAGTGCTACTTAAGTGAGTGTTCTTACTGTCACCATGACTTCTGCACATGCATTATTTCACTGAGTCCTCAGACAGCCAGCTTTTCTGAGCCACCACTTTGTGGTCGCAAAGGCAAGCAGACAGCTGCCTCCCTGGCTCCTGCCTCCGCTGACTGCACAGTGCTGGTAGTTGTTATTCTCCTGAAGGGCTTAGTCCTGGGCACTGTCCCCTTGCACCCAGCAATGCCACCTCAACAGAAGGGTCACTGAATTGCTGAATTCATAAAGTATTCTCCTGAGTGGTGTTCTTCAAGCAAATAAAAGCAGGAAAACGGACAAAGAAAATGTGAGAATGTCAGTCTCTTATGATAAATTGCTTGCCTTTCAGATGGAAAGTCTGACAATTTTAGGTATTGCAGGCCCAACAGTAGCAACACATGGGTACTTGGCGGGAACATCATTCACCTCCCAAATCTTTCTCAATGCCTCTGTTTTGTAAGGAGGACATATTTATTTGGTACTAGGAAGTATTTATCATTTTTCACCTTTCTTTCATTAAAAGAAAATTTTTTTTGAGTTGGGGTCTTACTCTGTCACCCAGACTGGAGTTTAGTGACACAATCACAGTGCACCACAACCTCGACATCCTGGGCTCAGGTGATCCTTCTGCCACAGCCTCTGGGAGTAACTGGGATTACAGGTACCCACCACAATACCTGACAAATTTAAAAAAAATTTTTTTTTATAGAGAGGAAGTCTTGCTATGTTGCCCAGGCTGATCTTGAACTCCTGGGCTCAAGCAATCCTCCCACCTTGGCCTCCCAAAGTGCTGGGATTACAGGGGTGAGCCACTGTGCCTGGCCATTTTCATTTATTACTTTCATTTGCTCTTCTCTCTTCTTTTAACCTAGGGGAGCCAACCACAAACCTCATAGTATCTGGCTAAAATCTGGTAACACTATTTTCACAATGGGTTCTGATTTGGGCAACTGATTTCTCTGTATGGTTAAGGATCCTGATTTTCCATGTATGAAGCTTCCTTTTCATATTCACATTATTTGAATTTCAAAAAGAGAGTCAGTTAAAATGAAACAAAGGTTAAGTACACAACAGCACAGATGATAAGTGGACACAGCACGAGCATACAAAAGGAATGCGAAAGCCTAATGATGGCAACAGCTAAATGGATGAAGAAATTGCCATGTGCCAGACGCTGCTCTGCTCTGTATATATTAAATTATTTAACAGTGCAACATGACAAAATCAAAAAAGAAACTATGAGGTATGAACAACTGTTATCTCTGTTTTGCAGATGGTGAATGGAGGAGAGAGGACTGGGTTAGATTGCCTAAACTCATCCACCGAGGAAGTGGCCAAGCCAAAATCTGACCTTGGGTCATTTGGCCCCAGCATGTATATGTTTAACTGCTCTGTGAAGTTTGGCCAATGAAAAAAATAAGAAAGGTCTTTAGGGCAAGCTGAGATAGGCAGCACACATGATTTAAATAAGCCTGATAATTGCACCATCTCTAATTCTAATTGTCTGGGCCCAGTTACAATGGAATGAGTCCAGCACTCTCAGTGGCAAGATTCATTTGGCTCTGATTCTTTCTGGAGATGAAATTCTTTTTCCTTTGACTATTGAAGGGCACCCCACACCGATGCAGTGATAAACCATTGAGTCTATTTGCAGCATGACTATAGACTGGCTAAAAGTCGCTTGAGTGCTTTTGGGAAACACATGAATTATCACATAAAACCATGGTCATATTTAATCTACATAACATGGCTTAATATGAAGACCATTCTTTGTCTTCATATATATATATGAATACACATATATATACACATATACGTGTGTGTGTGTGTGTGTGTGTGTGTGTGTGTGTGTGTGTGTGTGCGCCAGTCACTATGGGCTATTTATGGAATTTTAAACCAATAACTAGGGCACTGTTTTAACTTTTGGGTGTTTGAAACTTACTATCTTACAGGAATCATGGAACTCAGCCTGACTAATGCATTCTTTTTCCATAAGAGAAAACTGAGGTTCAGATAGCAAGCAACCTGCCTTGGGTCCCACAGAGTGACTCCTCATGATCATCTTCACTTAAACAGCAAACCAGCACCACCTTCACAGCCAGTACTCACTAAGCACTTGCTACATGCCCAGCACACTGCTAGGCATTCTACATGTACAGAATCCTCATTACCACACAGTGAGCAAGGTCCTGCTACTGTCCCATTGTGCAGATGAAGAAACAAAACCTCAGCGGAATTAAGACGCCTGCCCAAAGTGACACTGCAGAGAGTGGTGGACTCAGATGCGAGCCTGGACACTCACACTCCAGAGCCACACTCTGCCACCACAGCACTCTGCCTCGTACCCCAGTTACATCGGATGTCACCATGACCCATCACTCACTCACAATGAAGCATCAGCACAATAGAATTTCTTTAATTTTCCCCAAGTAACAAATGTCCCTGGAGAGAATAACTGACTTGGGTTCACAGTGATTATATGCAGACAATTGGGAATGAATAGATTTCCCTTTTGAAAAGCCTTCCTCTCCTTTTGTCTTTGTGAATGCACCCCCACTCACAACCGGGTGCCAGCAAGCTCCGTCGTCTTTGTGCAAAATGATACCTTTGTGATAATCAAGCAGAAATGGGTTTCCACAGTCCCCTTCATTAAGGAAATGAAGCACATAAACAGTGTAATTATGGATTCCATTTTTAGCTAACACAAGGATGTATGTCTTAGCTCAGGGTCTTTATCTGGTAAGGGACTGGTAAATTTAGAGTGAAGAAACCTTGCAAGTCCAATATTGTATGGTGCCTGAAACTTTCCCCTCCATACACTGGGTCTGGGTTTACATTTACATTTAATAAGATAAAATGATAGCAAACCAGTAAATGAGCTAATTCACCTCCACTGGTTTTAGTTTCTTCATCAATAAGATGGAAAAAGTCACACTGATGCCCAGCAGAGGGCTGTGGGCTGGTGTAAGACAATTCCTACATAGCACCCGCTCAGCACGTGGGTTCAGAAAAGGGCAGCTACGGCCCTCATCAACATCCAGCAAGGGAAGGTCTTGGCTTAGGTCTGAGTCCACTGTCTGTTAGCTGTCTGACTTAATGTGCTTCAGAGAGGGTTGGTGACCAATTGTAGCAATTCCCACCTCTCAGAGTTGTTGAAGGGATTTGAAGATAGTTTATGTGCCAGATCTCTGGAAATGCCAGCATTGTGTATATGCACACCATGTGGCAATGCAATTACTTGACAAAAATCTTTCTATAATCAGTGGGAAGGAGGTCTCACAATCTGGCAGTCGAGAGAGAGGACTTGTTGAAATGATCTACTAAGGTTCTTTTTAAAAAGTTCTCTAAGACAGAAAATAGAGAGCTGGCCTGGCATGGTGGCTCACATCTGTAATTCTAGCACTTTGGGAGGTCAAAGTGGGAGGACTGCTGAGCCCAGGAGTTCGAGACCAGCCTAGACAACATAGCAAGACCTTGTCTCTAGAAAAATCAAAAAATCAGCTGGGTGTGGTGTTGGGCACCTGTAGTCCCAGCTACTAAGGAGGGCGAGGCTGAAGGATCATGTGAGCCCAGGAGGTCGAGGCTGCAGTAAGCTATGATCGTGCCACTGCACTCCAGCCTGGGTGACAAAGTGAGATCCCAACTCAAACAAAACAAAACAAAACAAACAACCAAACAAATACAAAAAAAGAAAACAGAGAGTTAAATAAAGCAGGTTACTCCTCTTACCTAAAAATGTGACCTCTTGGTTCAGCTGCCAAGGTTATGGGGAAGATGAAATTTCAGAATGGGAACTGTCACAGGTGTCTCTGAACTTCATGAGCACAAAGACCATACCCTCCTCCCATATTCACTGTCCCCTTCTGTACCCCTCCGTCCAGGTCAGGGTTTGTCAACTGTAGCTTTATTGACGTTTTGAGTAGGATAATTTTTGGTCTGTCCTGTGTGTTGCAGGATGTTTAGCAGCATCCCTGACCTCTAACCAACAGATTCCAATAATGACCCCTCCCCTAAACTGTAACAACCAAAAATGTCTCCAGACATTGCAGTGGTCCCTGGGAGGCAAAACTGTCTCCATTTGAAAACCACTAAGTAAAGATCGCTGCACCTGGCACTCAACAGAAACATACAACTGTCGAAACTGCAGGACTAAAACAAGAGTGTGGGTTGGTGTCTGTGGTTCCAGGTCATGGGGCAGGGAAAGAAATCTAGGTGAAAATGAGAGGAGTGAGAGTGAAGGTTAGCATGAAGCAGAGGGCATGGCTGCACTGTGTGCAGAGAGTAAACCACTGAAGATGACCAGCTGGCTGCCCTCAGCCCTGCGCATGCTCTCGAGAAACAGCTAGACCTCTTAGTTAAAACCCACCACGGCCAAATCTGAGCACCCACCACACGTGGAGCACCTGCACATAGGCTCTGCATGCGCTATTCAATTCATTGCTCACAACCACGCTATGCCAATTGTTGCCTCTGTTAACAACCAAGGAAGCCAAAGCCCAGAGAGACCAACTGACTTGCCCAGGCCCTCATAGTTAGCAAGAGGCCAAGGAAGGCTGCCTGACTTCAAAACCAGGGCACACAATCACCAGGCTAAACAGCTACTCTGACCTCTGAGAGTTCACAGCCTAATTCGGAGGGACAGGGGATATGTCCCCAGGTGATTGGTGCCACAGAGAGAGCAGCCATTTCACCAACTTGCAACCCACTTTCTTGGCCTCCATTGATTTTCTTTCTTCCTTTTATTTTAATAGCATTTATCTTTCTTTCACCTTGTTAGTAAAATCATGGAAAAGCGAGTCAAATAAAATTAGTAAGTAGAAAAAGGTAAGTGCCCATTTTAGTAGGTTTCTTCTCATTTTGCCTTTTCAAATCATGTGCACTTTTAACAAAAGGAAACTTATACTATAGGAAAAATGCTCTTCGGAGACATACCAGTCTTCTTTTGTTCGTGTTTGAGTCCCTGTTTATGAATTCCAATTTCCCACACTGACTGCTGACCCTGTTTAGCCCTGTATGCCCTTTCCCCACCATTTAATGTGTTTTGGGTGTATATAAGGTTTTGTATCTTGAGTTTTATTTTGTTTTGTTATATTACTTAATTTCCTGAGAATTTTTTTGTTTAATTGAAGAGTTTTCAGAAACAAAGTAATATGCCTCTCTGTGGATTGGTTTGTCATTTATTTTTAAATGGTTTTTATTGTCAGACGTTTAAAGAGTTACCAGTATTTGTGATCATAAATTTATCAGTGATGGTCACCCTATCATAGAAACCTTTGTTCCCATCTCAGTTTATGTTTTGGGCTAAATTTCTACAAGTGGGATTCTGGGTACTCACTGTCATTCAAAACTGGCACTAACCCAGCAGGAAGGGGTAAGGATTGGATCCAAGCTCTGGGGGTCACCAGGACAGTGTGTGTATGTGTGTGTGTGTGTGTGTGTGTGTGTGTGTGTGTGTGTGTGTGTGTGAGTGGGTGTGTGGGTGGGTGGGTGTGAGAGTGAGTGAGTGAGAGAGAGAGCAGAGCGCAGGGTCCTGCTCCACTGGGCTGTCAGCTTCTCAGGGCAGAGTCAAGCCTGGTCACATTCATATCAGGCTCACTGTAACCAGAGGCCGCACTGTGCAGTGTCAGGATGGGTAAGACTGCAGTTCTATCTCATGTTCTAACCAGAAATTATAGAGTTCCTGGATTCAGGCCAAATGGGCCCACTCGTAAGCTACAAAGCTATGTCCATAGTGATTATGATGGTCATGCCTGGCACAAGAAAGATCAGTGGGAACATCTACTGAGCAAAGATTAAGCACCTACTATGTGCTAAGCACCAAGTGCCAAGATATAACAACAGTTAAGACATAGTGCCTACTATCAAGAAATTCTGGTTTAGTGTAAAGCACACACACTGAAACAATCATGGCAGGGAAGAATCAGGAAAATGTGTGGGCTGACTGGGGCAGGATCAGGAGGAAAATGTTACTAATTCTGCTTGGAGGGATTGAAGGAATCCTCACAGACTGGGGGATGCCAGATTAAAATACACCCAGCACCTGGGGAAATGCTACTCTGTTACCAATAGCTCTCCTTTTAAAAGATCATTAAAAATAACAAGGATGGTAGTAGTCTGCATCTCAGGAAAAAAAATGAACATAAATGAATGAACAAAGAAAAGAAAGAACAGAGTGTATCTGAGAAATAGGAAGTGACTGGGCAGGTCTGGAGCAGTTGCTGGGAAATCACATTCATTAAGGACCACTGGATTTGTAGGTAAGCATCATCATTGCCATGGTCACATTGTCATCATCAATATTACAGCTACAACTTTTTAGGGAGTTATTATGTTCCAGTTATCATGGTCAGCCTATAACATGATTTGTTTTTATCATTTTATAATAAATGATAACACACACACACACACACACACACACACACACACACACACACACACACACACACACACTTCCTAAGAGATACCTATCATTTTTTCTGATCCAGGACTCCAACTCACACTAATCTAACTCCACCACGCATGCTTCTAAGAATCTCTACTAATTACAGCTCAAATCACCAAAAGCATTTAGTGTCATCAGATGAATGTTTTATAAAAGTAGATGTAAAAAAAAAAACAAACCAGGATGGCTATCTGTTCATTCAGCCTGAGACACTAGTGATACGTCTGTCTCCCTTAGATGTCATCATTGCCCATGAGTTTCCTGAAGAATTTACCTGTGCAATGGATGACCTCAAAGTCTTAAGTAAAGTCATGGGTCAAAATGCACATTCAACATTGACTTCATGGAGCCTACAGAATTTTCTGTCAGGCTGGATGGTGTGGCACTTAGCACAAAGGGTGGCTTTTGCTGACAGCTGAAAAATCAGCACTTTATCCTGGGGAGCTGAATGCAAGCCAGTACATCCCAGAGAAAAAGTGGCCAGTGAACCTAGGGTATGAACTTGCAGCTGAAAAACAGAAACCAGCTGTGGCTTACCTTTAGCTGTCATGTCGGAGTGCCACCAACTGCAGAGGTTAAATTCCACCAGAAACCTAAACAAATGGCAGAGAAGCCCAAAGTTACTTGGTCATCCATGTCCTGAGTGACATTCTGTGTCATTCAGCAGTACTCACCTCATTTGAAAGACTAACATCACAACTTGGAGATATCAACACGGTTGAGTTACCACTGAATTTTCACTGAGCTTTATCTTACTCGTGAAAGACCATTTTATCCCCTAATGCTAACCAAACCCTGAAATCTGGTTTCCCTAGACTACTAGTCTACTAGAAGAGAAATACACTGCTGTGTAGGGCAAAATAATTTTCTAGTCATTGTTCACTTGCTATTTGCTCCTAATACCATTAGTTTGATCCCATAGTAAATAGCCAATTATTTTTAAAGGGCTTCCTGCTTTAGTTCAGAAATCCAAGCAGAATATTCTCTACCTAGACTACAGTCTGCAGTAACAAAGGATGCTTTCAAAATTTATACTGCAACTCAAACTTGCTTAAGCCTGTCTTTTTCTGTCTCTTTCCATGTGTGTGTGTGTGTGTGTGTGTGTGTGTGTGTGTCTGTGTGTGTGTGTAGGGGGAGATAGGACAAACTTCCCTTTATGAAATTATGCCCAATGACACTTCATAAAAATCAACATTTCTCAATTGCTTGTAAAGAATGCAAAAATGATATAAATCATCCTTCAAATGGATGGTGAGAAATCAAAATTCAGTCTTCATTTTTTAGGTTTGTGGCTACTGTCCCTAGCAACGCTCTCTCTCTCTTAAAATCTTACTATTTTCTGTTAACATATTTCTTCTGTCTCTTATGTGTATGGATAACTTACTTCCCATTCAAACTTAGAAACTTTGTTAAATGAATGTAGGTTACATTAAAGCAATGAAGACAACAAGGTCTATTTATCAAATGGCAAGAAATTTGCCTTAAACCCACAGAACTGGAGTCTTAATGGGGGAAATAAGAAGGAGAGAGTTTGCTGCAACTTAAACAATCTGGTTTACATGCTTGTCCATGAAATTCTTCCCTTTTGTGTGACACAGTGTTTCTGCAATGTGCCCAATATCTGGTCTGAAGTCAAGCCTTTCATCTTTGTGCCATTTCAAGTCTTACCTAAGTCACACATGCATTCAACACCCTCCAAAACAGGACCAGAATTTGACAAGATAAACAATTAAATCACACCTGAAAAAAGCCCCTAACCCAAGCTGACAGTCCCACCAGCCCCCACTCCTGCACAGGGCAAGATATTCAAAGTAGCACAGTGGACAGTCACGGCAGTGTGTTCTTTTGACCACAGCCCACCCAGGCTGCATTAAAAACAGCCAGATATCCATATTAAATTTAACAGTAACCACAATAAATAAATTTGGTTTGTGTATTGCAAGCTGCTACTATGCTAAACAATGACATAAAGGCATAAGGAGTGATCATGAATAACCTAATAAATTATATATTTTTGGGTCTCAGTGTTCAATATTTTGAGATATTCAATGAGGTTACTTCAGAGTATTATATGAATCTATTGGTTATTGAAAACATGAAGCTCAGGCTCCCAATTCAGTTTATAACACACCACGAAAAATAATGATACTTTTCAAAATTGCAGCAATTGACTTACAAGACGAGTTCTGTCATTATCCATTTTACTGCAGAGAGGAAGGCATTATAAGGCTGAAGAGAAGTCAGTTAATTAAAAACAATGTATCACACACAACATTTGTAGTTTAATTTAAAGCTTTATATTAAGACAATGTTATTCTTCTCGAGAGATTAATATCATGTTAAAAAACAGCGACATTCTAACTAGAGGAAGAAAATGGTTGGATATTGTATCCCAAAACTAACATTTTAAAACTTTGAACTCCACTCTAGTGTGATATGATTTACAAGTAAAATAAACATGATCTAATACAAGGGTTATCACTGGGAGGAAAAAGGAAGTTCAGCAAACGATGCTTAAACCTTTACCCTCTAGGGGTTAATATTTCGCAGTCTAAGGCTGAGGGGGTTGGAATCATATAACTAATTTCAAATGGTAATTCACAGGGCTGCCTCTTGAAAAGGTGATTCCCTGTTCTCCATCACTGTATGTCATTCATTGACATAAGTAAAAATTGTATACACTGGACTTTATGAATTATGTAGGATTTAAGCCTCCTTTTCTCACACTTACATATGTGGACATGAAAAAATGATAACCATATAAACATGTGATTTTCTCCTTGCAGAAAATCCTCTCACTCTGCAAAAGAAGGCATTGACAACCTGATCTTTATTTCAGAATATTTTAATGAAAAAAAGCAGTTGGATTGTTTACTCTGTGATATTTCCTATGTGGATAATTCAATTTCCTGAATTCTGGAAAATACCAAGTTTCCCCCTCAGTTAGTTCTTTGTACCTAGGTATGCCAGATATGTGAGAGGTGGGTAGACTTGAGAGACAGGCAATGACACTGGCAAAGCCCGGAATTGGGGTCCAGATGTCGGGTTCGGAAGAATCTTAGAAGCTTTTGTGGTTACCTTTAGATATTAGATAATTGAAGTGCATGCCAAATCCTGGCTTCTGAAGTCGTGTCTTCTCCTACTTTCTGAACATTCTAATTATAAGAACTAACTAGAATGAGAAATAGTGGGATTGTCCAGTTTTAAACAAAACAAGTACAAATTTACATACCCCTAACCATACTTAAAACATTCCCATCTGGGGCCAGAAAGTAAATGAACAGAACAACAACAAAAATACTGAAGTTATTCCCAGTCTGTCCCTAGCCCTGATTTCAGACTTTATATATCTCTTGCTCCGATTTGACTGAGTGCTATGACATCATTCCCTGAATCAGAGGGCTCAGGACTCCCAGGATTAGGGTCAGATAAGGATGTGAACTTTTAACTATTTCCTTAAACCAAATGTAACTTTGCAGTCCTGTGATTTTGTCATTACATCTTATGACTTGAAAAATAATCATCTTTCTTTCAAAAAGACCTGGGTGGTCAGACCATGGGACAATTCTGTGTTTTTGTACCTGCTGGGGTGGGTAGTGTGGGTCAGAGGGAGGAAAGAATGAATAAAAGGATTAAGGAAGTTTTGGAGGTTGGGGGTTGGGAACAGGGACCACTCACTCACAGGCCAGGGAAGGCACTCAAGCATTCCTTGCCAGACACTGGCTCAATATATGAATAAACAAAGGGATTATGTAAATACGGGACTTAAAAAAATTAAATGCACATTATCATTCAAGAGAATTGAGCTTTTAAGCCTAATGATGAAAACATATCTTGGGAACATTTTATGTCTGGAAATATTCATGCTAAGGTTTGGGAAGTTAGGTTTGGAAAGACATGGCGAGTGTCACTAAAAAGCTGTATTTTTCAAAATGTCCAACTCTTAGCTGCCTCTCAAAAAATTTCCCAGCTCTGAATCATCTTTCTCCCTCAGTGTAGGAGAATCATGTTAAATATTTGGTTCTTAAATAATCCCCTTGTAAAATCTGACATTTGCAAATTAGAAAGCGTATACATCTTACAACCAAAATGGCTTTTAAATGCTGTGTTTCCAACCAAATTTTAGGTTAATTTTTGATACTTACAAAATGATAACTTTGGAAGAGCTATATTTATACACATATGCTGGCCTATATGGAGGTATACTGTGTCTGTTTGTTTTTTTTTTTTTTTCCTGTGTTTTAGGGTATTCCTGCCCAAATTTACATTGTAAATTATATTTTTAACCTGAGGGGGTAAATTATAACAGTCAATTTCTGGAAGTCTGAGAGCCAGTTTCTAGTGATACAATAGCTGCACTGATTGATCCTCAACTTTGACATCACCAAGGAACCAGCTCCAGGGAAAACCATGCTGAAACTCGACATTGGCATGATTAGGGGGGAGTATCTGTGATCAAAATGGGAATTAGCGCATGGGCTCAGAGCTCTATTACAAAAACCAAAAGGAAGATTTTTGTTGAACAAAACCAAATTCTTTTATATACAAATGAGAGAACTGACAAAACTTCTTTTTCTATTCATCAAAAGGGGCGACTACATTAATCCATCAAAGACTTTAGACCTGTTTTTCATTCACATAAACACTGGATTTGGGTTTGAACAGAAGTGTTTTTTGTTTTGGTTTTTTTTTAATGAATAAAGTCAAAATGTTCATGGTTTTGAAACAAGATAAACTTGATTGCTCCAAAGAGGGAGATAGGCTCACACGAGAGAAAGACAGGAACGAACAGCTGTTTTCTGGGTGACAGCACTGTACTTACATCCAGGAGGCCATGGGCACCATCGCTGCTTTCCTTGTTGGCTCTACACATGGCTTGGTAGTCATAAAGGGTAATTCTGTAGGAAAACATAGAAGAGAGCTTCACTACATGAGAAAACACAGGACTCAAAAGATACTGTGTACCACAAGGTAAGTCATCACTGTCATTAAATGCAACAGTGACAAACACCAAGCAGGCCTGATGAGAATGACAAACAAGGAACACAGTTATGTAACCACTCGGATCTTGATGGCCAAAGGGAATGAAAGTATTAGGAAGGGTGGAAGGAGATCAGGACCCCACTAACTTGATAAAACAGTCATGCTGGTCTGAACAAGGATGGTTTGCATGGAACGAGATCCTCCAAAGGGAATAATATGCTATTCTGAACTAGATGCTAGGTCCCAGATGGAATTTACTTGGGCCATGTCTCCAAAGTCCAGGAGGGCTGGGAAAGGCTACTTTAGGTTAAGAAATGGCAGCATGTTTTGTGTGTTTCAAGCACTAGGAAGCAGGTCTGGACCAAGACAGGCCTTGAACAGTGACAATTTGTGGGAAACCAGTTCTCATGGATTGTAATCCTCATCCCTACTGTCACCATCATAATAGTGAGTATATTCTTATTTTGAAAATAGTAGTTTACAAAATAAAAAGTGGACATTTTTTCTCTATTGGTGCTATCAGTGTAGCTCTCATCCCAGTTATGGCATTTACACAGTTGCAAAAATGTTGTACTTTATAATTGTTCAAGGTATTTTAATTCCCCATCAATAATTTAACAAAGTAAATGTGACTGACAATTTTTGGTTGCATGTGCTGGGGCTCAGAAAACATTAGCCTGAAATACAGCATTTTGACATGAAGCAGCCTCAAGGTCTTTCTGACCTTCCTCCCTATCTCCCTCACCCCTGAAGTCTCTCAATTCTGTCTCTCCCAAAGCATAGGATGAAGCTGTTCTCTGAAGTTCCCTTACCTGCCTAAAAACCAATTCTGCCAAAGAGGAACACAATGACCTTCCCAGATATTTCACTCACCAGAGAAAATTAAAACTCATCACAGAGGAAGAGGCTGAAAATTACATATCATGCCTAGTGTCCATACTAGCTTCATCCCGAACCACAGCCAGCTATTCACTCCATTCAATTTTCAATAGAAATTATTTGTTAACCATTGTTTGAGCATCAGGCAAGTTTATTTCCCCCTAGAAATCATTTACTATTCCTCCAATCACATTTTCCCTATCCTCCCTCCCCTCTTGAAGACTGGCATAGAAACATCTGTGCCCTGTTGGGTTGTTGGATAATCACTCTCTTGTGATTCCCATGCCAAGCACATTACAATAAATTTCCTATGCCCTTTTTCTCCTATTAATCTGCCATTTGTCAGTTCATTTTCAGCAAACCTTCAGGGGATGATGGAGCAAGCTTCTCCTCTTCAACCCACACAGGTTCCAGTGTTTACATGGCATGAGCACCTTATCCCATACTCTGAAGTTGTAGCCAAAGCAGACACGCACTCCCCTACCCTGCCCTTCAGCATCCCCTCCCACTATTCCTAGCACCCCAGAGGAGAGACACTTAATGTCCTGCCTGAGTTACACAACAGCTGCCAGATGCTATTTTAAACACTTTAATACATGTATTTAATGACTGGATGGAATTCTCCCCACAGGAATTCCTTTCTAGAATAGTATCATGCTTAATGTTGAGTGTACTACTGCTGTGCTTGGAAAGCACACTAGAAATAAAAGCTCCATGCAACAGAATTGGTGTTGGATCTGTTCCACGCCAACATGTAGCACCTGGTACAGCACCCAGCATAAAGAAGGCATTTGGTTTTCAAAGGTTAAATGCATGAATGATTGCCTGGTTGCACAAATCTTGAGCAAATGATGACACAACTGAGAACAAAGGGGTGTACTGCAAAATGTGATGTGGAGGTCTCTTGGAGAGACATGACCAACAAATGGGTTAATCTGTGGGTACCAAGTGGAACACTGGCCCCATTTGACCAAATGGAAGATGCAAGCCACCCCCTTACCGGTGGCACACAGCATTTCTTGGGCAGCAAAGCCCAAGGGATCTCCAGCAGTCACACAACCACTAGCCAGTCCCCAAGGCCCCACCTTCATCAAAATATTTCTTCTTCACTCTCCTCTAGCATTTTTTCTCATGCAGATGCAAGCAAGAAGCTTTGTTTATAGAAACAGAAATGAAGACCATACACTAGTCAAGCATTAGGCTTGGGATGCCCCTGCACAAATGTCACACAAATGCTCACCATGGACATGGCCCCAACACTAACCCAGGCACTGGGATAAATCATAGGCTAGATTGAGGATCATGGTGAATGTGGTGGCTAAAGCAACTTCATCTTGGATGCTAATCTACCATGCCTATTTCTGGTTATCTCCAGTTCTGAAAAGGTTCTAGGATTTCCTGTTTATTTACTGTTCCTTGTGTAAGAGCAGGTACATACGGTAAATCCTGCCCCTAGGTCAAACAACATTGGTGTTATCATACATAACTTGTCCTATACAACCCTTTTGAGTGACCCCTTCCCTGTGGCTCATTGGGTCTGGGGGTGACGCAGCAGGGATCTACCATCCTGTCTCATTCTACCCAAGATACAGACATGGCTTCTGTTTGTAAGTCCCTATTAAATGTTTCTTTCTAGGAAACTAAATATGTTCACCTTTTTCTCCAGCCTTTTCACTTCCTCATACTTTGAGGGTAGGTTTACATAGAGCTGCTCACCTTGAAAGAATGGACAACTCTAATTGGTTCCTGACTAGCCCACCATACCACCATCATCTCCATCCTCACCCAGGAAATTTCTACGAGTAACACTGCAAAGACTTTCTAGGATTTGGTAAGAATTAGTATTGATTTGTCCTTTTCCTACTACCCAACTCTATCTCTACAGCTAAAACCTGTGCCAGAGCTGGGTGAGAGCCTGTGTGGTGTTGAGAGGAACATGCATGGGCTTGGAGTCTTAGAGACATGAATGTAGAATGACCTTGGTTCTAAAAGTTGGTTCTTCCATATATTCAGTGTGTGACCTTGAACAGGTGCTTGTTCTCTTCAGAGGCTTCATCTTCTCACTTACAGAATGATTGCAGAGATGTTCTGAGATTTAAACAATCAGATGCATAGAAGTACACTGAAATATGCTATGAAGTGTGCTAGCCTTGTTAAGATCCTTACAATAGAAGATCTGATTCCATTGTTTGTTAGAGTTTGGGCTTTTAAAGCTGCACTGTTCCCAAAGGCTGAAGGGTTGGTATCGTGACATAACAATTAAAGTGGCAGCTTTGAAGTCAGTGACACCTGAGTCAAAACCTAACCGGTTCACTATAACAATGTCTTCTTAACCTTCTTGATGCCTCAAGTTTCCTATCTCTGAAATGGTGAGAACAATGGCTACCTTATAGGGAGGTCTTAGGATTAAAGGAGGTTATCTATGTGTCGTAATTAGCACAGCACCTGGTACAGAGATTGCATTAAACAGAAAATAGGTTTGTGGCTGCTGTTATATTTATTAGCATGTTTTTCACTGCCACTATTAATTAACGAGGTCATATTTAATGCAATGGGAATCCATCCAGGTTTTGCCCAGCTAGCTGGAGGATGGACAAGTCTCTTGATTTTCTTAGTACGTTGGGAAATGCAATGTAGACTAAAATCCATACTTGTTATTACAGTACGGAGCACCCTCAGAAGCTGTGCTAGGGTTATCAAGAGATGATATGGGAACTTCAGTCCACGGGTTTCTTAACTGAGAACCATGACGACAACAGCCGATGACTCTTGATGGGGCTTGTGACCAGCCCTTGCCATGGTAACCATCCTGACAGACAGATGGCAGAAAACTCAGGATACTCCTTGGATCATTTTCAAAGGCTCCAGTTTACATGCTGAGGCCAAACTAAATTGCTCTAGGGCAGCCCCCAGGCCAGGGCTCCTGTCTTTCATTTCCAAAGGAGGCTTTCCTCATACTACTGCCATTGAGGAAGTTACAAAACAACACTTCCCTGTCTTCTCCACACTTGGACAGTTTTAACTAGATATTGCAGAAAAGGAGACTTCCAGATTATTACCCTTTTTGAAGTGATTTTGTTACTGTTTTAAATAACTCAATTATATGGCTACCTGTATCCTGTTTGGCTGATTATAGTTGAAGAACATGATAATTGCCTGCTTTCATTCGACTCTAAAATAAGCCCCGAGAATCATGCCCAGCCCAAGACAGTCACTGTGTGCTCCTGCACTCATCAGCGGGGCTTTATTCTTATGTCAGATAACACGCCTTAATCCCCATGACACCACCACTAGGCCACTTCAACCAAGGACTGAAGCCCCAGACCTTATCATTAGCATTGCTGTGTTCCTCAGACAGATTTCTTTGAAACTTTGACAGAAGACAGATATTGTTTCTGAAGAAGCTCAAAGCACTGTAAGCAAATCCTGGGCAACCATATGCCCCTGCAGAGAAAAGCCCTGGACAACAAGGACACTTCTAAAGTCATTTTGTTCATATTGTTATTTTCCAACTAGACTAACATCACAACCAAGAAATTTTTTTTTTCTCTAAGAATTAGCATTTTGAATTTTAAAGGCACAAACCCAGCTAATTTAGGCTGATTAGCAACTATGGAAACCAACATTTATTAAACTTCTACTATGTGCTATGAGGCTAGGCCATTTATCTGCAATGACTCATTGGATTAGCTCACTTCGGCTAAAGGACTGGCCTAAAAGCAATCTTGAAGCAGCTTAATGTTTGCAAATATAGCCCTAAAAGCAGGACAAGGGAGGCACTGGACATAGAGACCCATCATGGGATACAATTAAGCAATTCTGAATCTAAATGTCTGAGAAGCAAAATGACTCACTAAGGTAGCATGTGAAAATATATGTATTTGTCAAGTTATAACATGTCTTCTGAGCCAGGCTCGGTGGCTCAGCCTGTAATCCTGTGCCTTGGGAGGCTGAGGTGAGTGGACTGCCTGAGCCCGTGGGTTTGAGACCCGCCTGAGCAACTTGGTGAGACCTCATCTCTACAATAAATCAAAAA